GAGCAAGACCGAATGCAGGAACGGGCTGTCGAATCTGCGCAGGTATATTGACCTGGTTGTACGTGACTGTCCATCGCGCCCCGTTAGGACCCACGCCTTCGCGCCGTAGTGGTTGGTCGCCATTTCCAGGCAGATTGGGCAGCCCTTGAGCGGTATCCGCGGGTCTCTGTGCGTCTGGTCCTGGCTGCTGAGATGTCGAGTCTGGGGTCTGCTCGTTGTTCTGCTGTCCCTGTTGCGCCATGGCCTGCGTGAACTGTTGTTGCAGTTGTGGGGGCAAAGGGAGAGGAATGGGAACCGCGTTTGCTTGGCCCGGGATATGATGGTGGTGCGGTGGTAGTGGTGGGAGCGAGTGCGGTCGAGCCTGTGGCAGCGCGCGGAACGGGTTCGTCTGCAGAGGGTTTGCGGGTACAGCCGGGGCTTGCGCAGGGCGGAAAGGGTTCGGGACAGTCGCGGATCGTGGCGTGGGTGACGTTGAAGGGTTCCCAGTAGTCGGAAGCTCCCGCAGAACCAAGTGGAGGCTCTGGTCCTTGTTCTCACGTAGCTGTATTCACTATCAGCTTACGTTTACCACACGTGGTTGGCGACCCTACATTGTCCACGCCAAACACATTGCTCAGTGTGTCGGCGTCATTGGCCACTACTCTGCCGCGATAGATGAGGCGCATGCGCTCTGGGGCAGGCTTCGAGGGCGCGGCATCCTGTATGCGGCTCCGGAGCTCTTTGACCGTGGTGGAAGCGGGGACGTCTGCGAGATTCACGCCACCCTCGAAGTCAGACGAGGGTGAAAGGATCTTGAGGTTGACTGTCTGCGCTTCTTCCGCCATGGCCGCTGTGTGTAGTAAGGGACTATGGTGCGAGATGATGAGTGCAGGTGGAAGTCGGGAAGTGACGACGTGTCCGAATTGGAGCCTGGTATCAGCTTAGGACCACGGTCGCGCCTGCCATCTGCTATGAAGTCCAGGCGGATAATCTGAGCGTCAGTGCCGCCTCGCCTTTGGATGTTTCGAGAAGCTTGACCTGTGCACGCGATGCATTGAACTGTCCATGTCCAGCGGTAGACGCCGTTGCGCGCTAGAGCCCCGTCGCCGATGGATACGTCATTGGTCAACCGAGGAAGTTGATTTTCCCACCACGCGACGCCATAGCCGTCATCTCGCCGCTGGGGAATTGGCCGTCTTCCCGCACTGCAGTATTCGAGACCGATGCATACAACATAGCCATGGCGTCTTCCTGTTCGCGCCAGCTCATGCGAGCCCCTCTCCGCCCGCGCTTTCAAACGCCCACACACCGACAGGCGCGCCTCTCCGTCCCGTCTCGCACCTTCTCCTCGACACGCGCAACATGTGACAAGCAGAACTTCCACAGGAAAGAGTCCTTCAGGTCACGGCTGAACTCCGCACTCAAGAACACCAAGATAAAATGGGAGCCAATACCAATTGCACTCGGTGTCGGCTTCCTCGGCGCATTTCAGCTCTATCGCATACAACGGAGGGAGAAGCATACCGAGGCTGAGAGACAGAATGGCGAGGAAGGTGCAGTGGACAACCAGGGCCGACCGAAGAAGCGCGAGAGGATACGGCCGAGCGGGCCATGGACGGTCCAGGTCATGTCGACGCTACCTCTCAAGGCCCTCTCGCGAGTCTGGGGACGTTTCAACGAAATCGACATTCCATACTACCTTCGCGTACCCGGCTTCAAGCTCTACTCTTGGATCTTCGGTGTCAAGTCAGCAACCATCAACCTAATAGTGACGTCCCATACTGACAAGCCACAGCCTCTCTGAAGTCTCCGAGCCCGATCTCCATGTCTACCCTAATCTCGCTGCTTTCTTTTACCGCACCCTAAAACCTGGAGTTCGACCTCTCGACCCTAACCCAAACGCCGTTCTCTCTCCCGCAGACGGGAAAGTCATCCAATTTGGTACCATCGAGCACGGCGAAGTTGAACAAGTCAAAGGCGTGACGTACAGCTTAGATGCGCTTCTAGGCTCCACCAAGCCCAGCACACCCGCCCAAAACGTCTCGAACTCTCAGGTCATCACAAGCGAACATGAGAAGACCGCAAAGGACGAAGAGGATACTGTCCGCGCAGATGAGGAATTCGCAAACGTGAACGGCATCTCGTATACCTTGCCCAACCTGTTCTCAGGACCATGGCCAAAAGGCGGAAAGCCATCGGAAATGCCCACGGATCAGTCCACTGCACCTGCTGCTTCATCAGAAGCTGAGGTACGCGCTGAAATGGCCTTGAGCGAAGCTGAGCGACCTTGGTGGGCACCGGCATCCAACAAGACACCGACCGCACTCTACTATTGCGTCGTATACCTTGCTCCAGGCGACTACCACCGTTTCCACTCTCCTGTATCATGGGTCGTTGAATCGCGCCGCCACTTCGCTGGTGAACTATACAGTGTATCTCCATACCTACAACGCACCATGCCCGGTCTTTTCACCCTGAACGAGCGCGTTGTCCTGCTCGGTCGCTGGCGCTGGGGTTTCTTCTCCTACACACCCGTCGGCGCAACCAACGTCGGATCTATCAAGATCAACTTCGATCGCGAACTCCGCACCAACAGCCTCACCACCGACACTGCCGCTGACCGCGCCGCCGAAGACGCTGCAGCGAGGGGAGAACCCTACTCCGGTTTCGCCGAGGCCTCCTACACTTCCGCTAGTCGTGTACTAGGTGGTTATTCTCTCAAGCGTGGTGAAGAGATGGGTGGATTCCAGCTAGGAAGTACCATCGTGCTAGTTTTCGAGGCGCCAAAGGGCATAAGACCGAGTCTCGATGAAGGATTCACCGGTATGGAGAGGAAGGGTGGGTTCAAATGGAATATTGAGCAAGGGATGAAGGTCAAGGTTGGAGAGGCTTTAGGATATGTCGAGGAGACCCAGTAATAGTCGACTCACTCTACTCATGCATGTATAGCAAATGATACCATCTAGCAAATTCTATTGTGTGGAAGATGCCTGCGCGTGGAAGCCATCTGTGTTTCCTTTGAACAAGAACAAGTACGTCTCATTCCATCTCCTTCCCTTTGATACCCTTGTTCTTCACATCCTGTTCCTTTTCTCCCATTCTGCTTGTTTTCAGCCCTGCCGCTTTACGGACGCCGCAACGAACAACACTACAGCTAATACAAACCGGAGAATTTTTCCCTCGAACAGAATTGATGTAATCTCGGCCAGTACGAAGCCCATAACCTTGAAGGAAACAGATGCTCCCTCAGGAAACAAGAGTGCCAGAATGACCAGGATCATGAGGAAGCAGACGGTGAACTCGCGGTCACTGGTATAATCACGGCGCTTTACTCTGGAATGAGGCGAACGATGTTTGACAGAGACGGTGGGCGGCTTCACCCGGCTGGATGCGCCGTTTTTGGACTTGATCTTGATGTAGGTGGTGTGAGTGTGAACGTGATCGGAGTCGGAGTCGTCGTTGTCGCCGTTGCCGTTGCCGTTGTTGTTGTTGTTGTTGTCGTCGTCGTCGTCGCCGTCGCCGCCGCCGCCGCCGCAGATGTCCTTGTACAAATCGCCGCAGCCAAAGTCAACCCAACCGTCGTCGGACCCCGTGCTCGAGGGGGTATCGTCCGTGGAGTAGTCGGTTTCGCCATCGGAGGTGTTCATGGCGGTTGAGAGCGGCCGTTCTGCTGGGAAGTTAGGAAGGATCGTTACAGTGGTGTTAGTGGGCAACAGACTCATGGCAGCGTGGTAGATGGCAGTGTAGATCTTTGATTCTCTGTGCAGTCAGCAATAGGTGGCACGTGTAGTTGAGCGGTGGTAGAAGAGGGCTAACGGAACGAATAAATAGTGAGCAGGCGGCAACGTGAAGAGGAAAGAGCGCCTGGACTTGCCCAGATGTTCTAACCGCGCCCGAACGTGACTTCATTGACTTCAAGGCTACCTGGAGTGTTAGGTAAGATTGAGTACACATTTCGAGTTCATGCATATACAGCGAATAATACCACCTAGCATACCCGATCTTCTTCTCATCAATTCTCAAGCTTGGAACTATATTCTAGTTGCGTGCTGACTGGAATCTGCTCTACATTACTCATTTATCAATATGAGTAAGCTCTTTCATACATCCTGTCTTCCTTCCCGTCCTTCACACTGCTGGCTCTCTTCTCACCCATTCTATATCTACCTTACATAACCGAGCACATCAATCCGACAACGACCATGAATGCCACAATCCAACAGATAGCGAACATGAACAGCATGAATCCGAATAAGAGCATTGCAATTCCAATCACGAGAGCTGCCGCCGCGCCAGCTACCATCAAGATGTAGAGTAGCCCAGTGTTGCGCTGATCGCGGTAGGGCTCTACGGCGTATTGAGTGCGGTAGGCATTGTAGGTAGCTACGCGGCCGAATTGGGAAGTGTTGGAGTCGTAGCTCGTGACGGCGTCGCAATTGAGATCAAAGCCGAAGATGCGGAGGTAGGGCTGATTTGTTTTGGTGCGGTTGGGAGCCATGGCGGTGGAGAGCGGTGGTTCTGCTAGAATTTCAGCACAAAGCAAGGTAGTGATGCTTCTATACGGCATACCTGTAGCAGTACGCAGATTGGTTATGTTGAGCAACGTCTTTTCCTGCGCAGAAAACAGCGAGTGGAGTGGTCTGCTGTTGGTCAGTCGGAGTCGAGCTAGCAAAGACAGATTGAGTAAGCGAGATAGTGAAGGTGACACAGAACCAGGAGTAGGTCTGAAGACACTTGAACTCGAACTACTGCCGTTCAAGGCCACGCGAGTAATCAATTGACATTGAGTACATTCTTTAACTTCTCATAGGCGGATCCATATGACGAAGCATATCTTGCATAACCTTCTCGCACCACGTCTTCGTGAAACTCTAGCCAATCTTCATCGTTATATCCTTCATATTAATCTTGTCTATTCCAACACTTACGGTAGCTATATGCTCCCTTGATTAGTGACAATTGTTCACACCTTTTTCTATTCTTCAACTCTTGTATCACTTTCTTTCAACCCACCACTACCATCATCCTCCCCCTCCACCCCCAACCACATCCCCATTCTCATCAACAACCTCAAAGTTATTAACCTCAAAGTTATTAACCTTCTCACCACCACCCGACCCATCGACCTTCCCCCTATACATCTGCGCCCCAACCACCATCCCGCATATCGTAAGCACGAGAAGCACCCCCCAAACCATATAAATGAACAATACCTTATTCCTCCTGTACTCCCGTTCCTTCTCCGCATCCGTAACAGGAGTCTCTGGTGTGTGTCCGCGCGGAAGGGACCCGAGCTCTATGTCATCGGGGTGGGCGGGTGCGCGCTTGAAGAGGCGGGAGATGAGCGTTCCGTTTTGTGTGGGTTGGGGGCGCGGTGGGAGGGTGTCTGGGAAGGGTGAGGTTGGTGAAGTGGGTTCTGTGACGGGGTGGATGACGATGAGGGGTGGGGAGGTTGGTGGTGAGGGTGGTGTTGGGTGTTCTTGATGCGCTTTGGACGGTGGTGAAGGTGGGTATGGTGGCGCCTCAGGTTCTTGTGGGATTGCCGGGAGTTGGGGTGATGTTTCGTATGCTGATGGCGCTTCCGCGGTTTTTGGGTATAGTAGCGTGGATAATGGGCGGCGTGGCTGTTCTGATGTCTCCATTGTGACAGTCTGAGGCGGAGGTAGGTCGGTGGTTGATACCTTCATGACTTCGGCGTATAGAGACCTCGTTCGGTCGCTGGAGATTGCGGTCCCTGGGTCAACTTGGGTAATGTATTGATGCGGTGTGGTGAGAGTTACGAACGGAAAACGAGTGCCTGTTAGGCGCAGCACAGTCAGTGAGCGCACAGACCCGAAGTAGAAGTGAAGGTGAGATTACTTTGAGATTAGTGTATTGTGTGACGCAACTGATACTTCTACGAATGTCGTTCTCGAGTTTCTTTTCAGATTCCGTTCTCAGCGTCCATTGTTATCGATTGGTTCGGCGCCAGAATTGAGTAGTAGTATCCAGCTCGGCCTCCCCATGTGTGCGACTACTTCTCTTCTTTGTTGTCCGACGACCATAGCCCTTATTGACAGCTCTCATGTTCTGCCCATTTGTCCTCCCATTCCACTTCACCAATGATCTCACCGCCGTCGATGAGCGAGGTAGACCTGCAACGACAGCATCTTCCAAAACTTTCACGGTCCAGAGGTCGAAATATGTCGTAAGCCTTTTCCTCCTGCGAAGTCAATCCAGCCATACGGAGATGTAAATGCTGGTCAATGTGCGGGAAGGAGCCATCTGTAGGGCAGCTCGCAGCATGTATGGCTGATTCATGTCTAAGTGACCAATAGAAGCAATTCCGCAGGCACTGCATTCTAAAGTTGTCTGTCGATGCGTCGGCTGTGTCTCGGTCGAGGAACGAATTCAGTATGGCTACGTGAACGGGTCGAGATCTGGGTTCGTTTCCTGGGCGCAACTCAGGTGCTGCTACGCGCCAGTCTAGGAGACGGCTTTTGTTGGTCCAATAGGTTGTGTTTGCGTATGACAGTCGAGTCACCACATCAACCATGGCGAAACTGCCCAGAGAGATACTGTTGACGATAATCTGTGCTGGCAATTTGCTGATGGCTCGTAACTTTGGATGTAGCACTTCACCAGCTTCTAGATGGATCTTTTGACTGGTACCGAGGATAGCTAGGCCGGGGACCTTCTTGGAAACTATCGTCATGGAGTATACAGGCCATTTCGAGGAGGGAGTCTGGAAATGTGCTCCCTCTTCGAGAAAACGCTCAGGTAAGTGAGTAGAGTGATAATGAGAGTTGTTGAACCAGAAAGCAAAATCGTTGGTACGAACGACTTGGTGTGTCGTCTTGACCGGGAGAAAATTGTAGACCATCAAGCGCAGTTCTGTTGGTAGATCGAGAAATCGGAACACCTGTTGATCGGCCATGGTCGAGAGAGAAGGTTGGAGAAACCTGTAGTTTGTATTGAAGTGGTCGTAGTAAGGACAACGCTCGTAAAGTTTCAGTGCAGAAGTTTCGGGCAATGGAACTGAGAATTGCGCAATCCCATTACGTAGTGATTGAAAGTTCACTTAGTCGTAGTCAAAGTTTGCCTACAGACGCTTTGTGCGAGATCACAAGGCTACACTTTGGTTGTCATTCAGTGGTAGCGCGATGATCCGTGACGACGAGCTGCCTACAACTTCTGCAATCCATACGGTACCGACTGAGAATCTGCTCTTGTTGAGAAGTACTGCGGTAATAACCAACTCGCGCGCGTGCGAATATCGGGGTTCGCTTTACCTATGGTCTGAGTAAGCTCCTAGCAGACCCGCTTGCGAGTAGATTAAACATTGCACTAATACTGGAAGTACGATCGAGAAGAGAAGCGCGTAATGGTGTCTCATACAGAGATCGTTCCTTGCAGCGCCGCACTTGCGCATACAGTAGTCCCCACGCACCTCCAAGGAGGCGTGCATAACCGCCTCACCGGCATGCGTTCGCGTCGTTTGTTGTCCGGTCAATGCCGGTGAGGTGTCGGAGAGACCGACAATTGAGTTTGGCTATATTGCGTGCATGAAGTGGCTGATGGTCAGCTTTTCGAGACCTCAGCCTTGTGTTGAGATTTGTGTGAAAGTGGTGTAACGTGGAAGCTTAGGAAACCTTACACAGGCATCAGAACCGAAACAATAGGCAAGCTAGTCCAACGCGGCTAGCACATGTCAGACGCCAAAAATAGCCCCATGACATTTTACGGAGCTGAGGGAACAGGAGCGAGATGATGCACATCTGGCTCGTATGCAGATCCGCTCGCTTTGAGATAGTCCGTGATAGTGATGATGCAATCTGCCATTCTAGGCATTGAGCTCTTCGAACACGTCGCAAATGTCACGATGGCACAAGAAAAGCAAAACATTCAGTGTACAATAATGAGACGCGATATGTATAGTTTGCATACCCCAGGCGATACGCAGGGGCGGCTGCAGCTTCAGGCACGTTGAGCAGAGGAGGGCTTGCAACGCCGCCTAGACTAACAGCTGCTGTCCCCACTTGGCGTTCTTGTTTGCAGGTTCCATCCGCCGGGCTATGGGCACAGTGTATGTATCTGGATCCAGCGACGTTTGCTGTCGTCTTCTGTGTCACTGGGATGCGGGAGTGCAGGCACAGAACGGGGAAGACGAAACGTCGATTGCGCCTTGGAAGCCTTGAACAGCAGAAAGGCGTTAGAGGCAGCCGGCAGGGAATTGGCAATAGCAGCACTGCCACGGCTCGCGATATCAGCAACTTGGTCCGGTGTTAGCTGCACCGGGACTGGTCTTGCCTTCTCCATGTCATTCCATTAGTTCCGCATGCCTGCACGTGCGGCGGCTTGGGCTGATCACCTACGCCGTGCATCTATGTAGCTCGATGCATTGTACTTGAGGAAAGCTGTCCAACCGCGCGATGCAGTCTTACCCGGGTATAGTCTATGGTTGCTCAGTCTCGTTTTATTATTAGCTGAGCGCGTCGTCTCCGCCCCGCCATCGACAACCTGCTCTGAGGCGGAGCTTGAAGCTGTCAACACTGCAATGCCTAACTTTCCATGGACCAAGTCGAATCGGTCGCACCAATCTGTCGACATTTCCTCGTCAGGGCAGCATTCGCCCGTACCACCTGGTAAGGAAGCATTTGGGCGCCCAATCGCCGGCGCCGCTGACGGGCAAGCGCTGGCAGTGAACGAGCACGTCGCCGCGCAGCGATACCATACTTCAGACAGCCAGCAGGCGCCTGTACAGGCTCAGCAGCCTCCTGTGCAACAACAGCAGGTCTCGACTGGCGCTCCGCTACAGGGCCAATATAGAGAACAGTTTCCTCAGCGCACGACGAGTCACAGGTTGAGTGCCCATCTCCCTCTGGGTCAGTCTTCGCCGTCGCAGGTTTACCAGCAACAACCCGGCCCCGCGCCAGTGTCTGGTGCTGAATCGCCTCATCGCGGCCCCTATCAGCCCCAGCCTGCACCTTCTGCATACACGCCAGAAGCCAAGAAGCCATCGCTGCGCAGTCGCATTGCAGCCGGAGTCAAAGGGCACAAAGACCAGGAAGCCAAAGCACAGAAGAACGGCCTGGGCAGACGACAGTCAGTCCGGAAGAGCGACCCCCGCGCGCAGGAGTATCAGGCGCAGGAAGAGAGCCGTGTGCAGCAGTGGCACCAGCACCAAGGGTCGACTTCCCATCTGCCCGCCTCGAACGAGCAGGACGAAGACAACCTCGACCCCTTCCTGCAGAAAGACGATACGCCCCAGGTACCGCCCAAGGATATCCAGTACCAACAGAACCTGCCGCAGCCTCAGCAGTTTGCGCCGCAGCCGCGTCAGGAACAGCAGGCGTACAATCGGCCCCCACTTGACAGGGTAAGCACGGAGGGCAGCTATTCGACCCAAGGCGGGGTAGACCAATACAGCCCTGAGCAACACCAGGGCCAGGGTCTCCAGCAGCCACGGCACCAGCAACAGCAACAGCAACAGCAGTATCAGAGCTACCAGCCAGCGGTCCAGCACCCACAAGCCTCGGGCGACTACCAGGCCTTCAACCCACAAACCGCGCCAAGCCCTCTGCTCCAGAACGCTCAGCTGCACGGGCAAGGTGGCCCAGTCTCGCAGGACATCCAGCAAACCTACTACCTGTACCAACAGCAGCAAGCTAAACTCCAGGCCCAGGGCCATTCGCCGCTAGACAACGCGCCGCAAAACACGCTTTATCCGCAGCAGTTTGCGTCGCAGCTTCAGCCGCATCAAGACCAGCAGCAACAGCCTCAACCTGGCCGGCCAGCCTCGCAGCAGCAGATTGACCTGCAGCCCCCACAGGCGTCTCGCCAGCATCCTCAGATCGCGCAAGAGGCCCAGTCGATCGAATCGCAGCGCCGTCCCCCTTCGTCCCACCAGCTCGCCCCGCCGTCTCCCCTCCAGCCGCCGTCCCACCAGACCTACGACGCGCAGCATCCCCAGTCGTCCGATCTGCTACCGACCAACATAACACCCCCACACGCGCACGACAGCATGGCGCCGAGTGCTCAGAGCAGTGCTAGGAACACCATCAGGAAAGCGAACGATGGCAGCCAACCACAGCCGGGTGCAACGTCGCGAGAGTCGTCCATGCTTTCACAGCCTCCCGCTCAAGGTCAGCCCCACGGTCAGCCGCCCGTGTCGCCGGGCCTGGCAACATTCGACGCTAACGTCGTTCCAACAGCTTCGCAAGGACAGCCATACCGCGGTGAGAAGCAGCCCCAGCAGGTCTCAGAAATGGGACGGGCAACGCCACCGCCGAGGACATCTGTCGCCGATATGTCAGAGGAGGAAATCGAGAAGCTACAAAAAGAGCACGATGTCTTGCGTGAGTGCATTCTCTTTGGACGAGCCGATTGCATCTAACACAATACAGGCGAAAAGTACCAAAAGGTCAAGCGATACTTTTTCGAGCAGCAATCACAGGTCCATCAGCTACAGAACACTCTCGCAAACCAGCGTTTGTCTTTGTCTCGTACATCCTGGGATGACAGCGAATATGCAACACGCTTCAATCGATTGGACGGATTGATAGCACAGCTGTCCTTCTCAATTCGCAAAGACTGGAAGAGTATACCTACGTGGCTACACAAGGTGGTCAACAAGACAGCTGTCGAGACAGGCAAGCAAGAAATGACGGCTATCGGCCGCGCTGTCATTTCGCAGTGGCTGGTGGAGAACATATTCGAAAAGTACTTCCACCCAGACCTCGAGCCGGGCTTTTCGACGCAACTGCAGTCAATCGTCTCCAACATCCGCAAGTTCTCGCCGCCGTGTCATAGCGCCGAGGATGAAGACACGCTCGCTGCCAAGATTATCAACTGGCGGCTGGCCACACTGGAGGGCCTTGCAGACACTTTGAGAGCACCACAGGCCACAGCCAATCGCGAGGCGCTCACCGAAACACTTAACGAGAAGCTGATTGCGTTCCTCCAAATGCACTTGAATGACCCTGCGCCTCCAGATCTCAATGGAGGTGTGCCTATGATCATCGAACTCGCCATTAGCATTGCACAACATTTGCCCCTTGAAAGCCGTGAAGTACACATCGAGTACTTTTATCCTGATCATAGCATCGTTACCGATTTCATGAAGATTGAGTCCGGCATCCCCGCGCTGACGGCACCCATCGTGGAGCGGGACGATGCCGACAGAGCTTCGATCAGAAGCATGGCTTCCAGACCTGACGACAACATGTCGTTAGCAGAACAAGAGCAAGCACAGCTACAGGGAAGCCAACCACCAAGAGAAGATAAGAAGCGCGGCATGTTCGGTTTTGGTGGGTCAAAGAAGCCGACGGCTTCTCCTGCTACTCTGGGCAAGCGGGAATCGTCGCTCGGTCAAGGTGGCAGCCAGCAAAGTCTTACGCAACATCCGCCGGGTAGCTCTGGTGGACCAAAGGACGAAGCGCCGCCACCACGTGTGCGTATGGCCGCTGGTGTCTTTGTACAGATTCGCGGCAAGAGCATTTTGATCAAGGCGCCAGTGTACCAGACATGAGCGACCCTGACGCGACAATGATAATGAAGATGGACGATTTGGATTGAGCGATCTAGCAAGCAAGCGTTTGGTTTATTTCCTTTTCCACTTCTACACAGTATGATTGGGTTCTGAGATTGGATCTACTGCATCTAAAGTATACCCAGGACGATTGATGGCGTGTTTTGGAGCGTTTCTTAGTCGACTTGGAGTGCATGCCGATACCCTCGTTGCTGTTACGGTTATGATTGGAACAAGAAAAGATTCTCTGGTATAATGAAAGAGGTCTTGCTTTCTGAGCGGCTTCGCTTGAGTGAACGTGTGGGTTTCCGCGATTTGACCGCCCGCAGCACTGAGCTTCGAGGCCCGAAACCACGCTAATTGCGGCGTCTTTGGACTCCCATTGGCCTGCATCCGCACTTGCCCTT